CACTGAGCTATACTATATTACTGGAGGACCTGCTCGGGATAAAAAAGTGTCCGCAAAAACATGGTGGATCTTACGCCATTTCCATGACAACACTTACTTTATTTTCATGGTAATTGCCACTGATCAACCGCGATCCTAAGCTTTCGAAGATGCCCTTAACCCCCCTGGTTTTTGCACAGATATTTTAATATTATATAAAGATATTTCAAGTTTTCTGTTGTTTTTGAGCAAGAATCTTAATATTTCCCTCGCACATTACTTGTTTTACAACGCCGGTTTGCTGCCTTCGCTTGTGGATGCAGCACTTTACTACAGAGAAACTAAAAAGAAAGACTATAAATTCTTTCAGGTAAGATTCACGAAACATTTTTATATTAAACTTTCTAGTAAATTCTAGACGACTAGCTAGTCTGAGACTCTGAGTCACTCAGTCCACTAGACCCTTCATATTATGTCAAAAACTCATCATCCTATTTACAGCAAATATTTCATACATAGAAATATTGTTGATGATTAAATATTGTGTACTACATGAAATTATGTTGTTTTCAGTGTCAGCACTGGCCTGCCCTTTGTGGTTTTAATATTGCCAGACTGCCAGTTTTTAATTACTTGTATAAATTGTGGTTGTTTACATGTTCATAAAGGTTTAATATGGTGTGAAATTTCTATACTTGCCCATCATAACGCAGAATTAGTATATATAGAAAAACACAAGACCAGAGAGACTTAATGAGTAGAGGAGGCCTACTTACTGTACATGTGACAATGTGCCCTGTCCTGATGAGCCCTATATAAAGACTGTCTTTATTATTTTACTCTGTTTGTCTAATGCCAGATGATATTAAGAGGAGACTGCTCACTGCTTCCTCACAGTGGGTCAATTTAATACCCTATCTGCCAACGAGCAGCCCCTGAGATATATAGTCAGCCCATTAAGCTGCAATGTACCCAAATGAACCAGCTACTTTCTTACTGGGACTGCAGAACAGGGGGGCCATGCCCCCCCCCCCTCACTGAATAATAAGAAATTACTGGATAAAATCTGGACAGCCTGCCTATGTGAAATAGCTCCTGACCCATGCTATCCTGCATTTTACTCTATCGGTGAGACTAAATCCAGTTGTTTTACTCATCAAGGGAAGAGTCTTAAAAAATGGATAACATTTTACCATTGTCTATTCAGAACTATATAAAACTATGTAGTTTTACACAGTATATGATCTCATAGTTACATGGCAAGAACATACAACATTTGTAACATTGGAGGTGGTGATGTATGATTGCTCTGTGAGAAATTATGACAAAATTTGCTAATAATAGTTTGACATATTTTAGCAGTTAGTTGGGAATGTAATTGCATTGCTGAATATGAAAACATGACACTTAATTTAGAAGCTCGGATTAATGATCTTGGTAAAAACAGATCATGTAATTGCACTCTCCCCTTGACTAGTAAAATTGTCTGACAATTAGTACAGTAAGGCAAAAATAATACAGTGAGGCACATCAAAACACATTGCCACTTGAAGGGTTAACATATGTGTATATGATATTTTGTGGTGTAAAGATGTATAATGTATCATGATAATAATGTTGTCTTTTATTTTGTAGAAATGATCTGTTTAATATACAAAAGAGATGGCACAGGCATCAACATGCAGAAGAACATACAGAACAATTACAAAATGAAGTTATAATTATAATACCATGCATAACAATTAATTATAATTAATAAATAATTATATAATGATTATCACAACTTTATTGAAGTGTAAATAAGTTTTATATAGCAATTAAAATTATACATTTTTGTTTTTTAAATTGTTTACTGCTAACAATTTTACAAAAAGTCAAATACACCTTACACCCAGTTCCTGCATGTATGTCACTTTGGCTATGGAGCCTTGTTTTCATGTATGTGGCATGAGTTTTAGTCCAATGTCTCAATCATGAAAATGACTCTATAGCCTAAGCCTTAGTAGCCAAGGTGACATAATTTCTGGAAGCATGTAAAATACAGTATGTTCAGTTTCCAAAGATGTGGCTTGGTACTGTATTTTCAATTGGCACCCAGAAAGGACTTCAAAGGAGTGTGTCATTGTGGAATAAATCTGCAATAAAAAAGAATAGATTAATTATACAGGTTGTACAAGAATCCACCAGTAACATAATTATAGCATATGATCAAGGTAAACAAAAGAATGTGACCTAACATACTCCTCAGCTTAAACCAGGGGTATCAGAACTATGAGTGTACTTAATATAAAAGTACATTATTATTCAGAGTGATATTTCCTGAGAAAACTTGTAAGAAAACAGGCCATCCTGGGAATGAGGTGTGATCTCATCACACATGTATGCCTTGGCAGTTGGCACATACCTCAGCTAAACCTTATTACCTCAGCTTAGGGAGAAGTGTGATTTATCTCAAGCCTCTATATTACTATTTATATGACACAAAAATCAAGAAGTATCCCCAACCATGCAAGAAAGCTAGGTAGAAACTACCTTCCCAGATCAGCTTCCAGCACGGGCAACACCCCCAGCTTATACATAAGTGGTGCATAACACAAAACCTAATTCCCTCTTTTAAAAATAGTCTGATAATAGATGTCAAATAAGAAATAAAAGTCTAAATAAAAATGAATATGAAAATACGTTTTTACCTTTGTAAATCCGAGTGTAAATCCATATATTTCAAGTATCGTCTTTTCTCACATTTCTTGAGTTTTTAAAATTGGTTTGTCGTCTTTCACGGGGGGATTAAACACGTACTACTTGGATATCTTTGACCAAATGGTCAAAGGCAGAAATTTTATATCGAAAACATTTTAAAAAAGGATTTCAAAACAACGAGAAATCGAGAACTATATTATCTGCAAAACTGTTTTGCAAAAACCAGGGGGGGGGGTGAAAACTGCCGTGGGCTCAGAATTGAGCCTGGTCAGTGGTAACTACTATGAGAATAAAGTAAGTGTTGTCATGGAAATGGCGTCATTTTTCATCAAAATCCGCCATGTTTTTGCGGACACTTCGTTGACTGAACGAAGTATAGGAGCAGGTCCTCCAGTTATTATACAGCTCAGTGGTGTATGGCCTTCGCCCATGTTCCAGACAGCAAACGACAAAAATTGGACAAGAAAGCGGAAAGACTACGCTTTGTTGGTTATTGTCGTACGTCAAAAGGATACCGTTTGTTAGATGAAATCAAGCGAAAGATGGTCATCCGAAGGGATGTCGAGTTCAATGAAAACGATTTTGGCGACAAGGATGAAATGATGACGACAAAATCTCAAGATCAAACGACAGAAGACGTGAAAGAAGAAACGGTGGAATTCGAAGAAGAAAAAGTGGGAGAAGAAGTATCCACAGAACCAAGGACTTCTGGCAGAACACGGAAAGCCCCTGTCAGATATGGATACGACGAGTATGCAGAGACTGCTAGTCCTGTACATCCCGCACGTCATGGCGCTTACAATGCATGTGAGATAGAAGAACCCTCGTCCATGAGCGAAGCTAAAGAAAACCAACACTCGAAAGAATGGATGGCTGCTGCTGACTCAGAATACAATTCACTGATGGAAAACAAGACCTGGAGACTTGTACAGTTGCCACCTGGTCGAACAGCTATTGGTTACAGATGGGTATTCAGAGCGAAGCACGATTCTGATGGAAGAGTAAATCGTTTCAAAGCGCGACTAGTTGCCAAAGGATATGCCCAGAAGTACGGAATTGATTACGATGAAACGTTTTCACCTGTAGTACGCTTTTCGTCGATACGAACATTGCTCGCATTTGCAGTCCAGAACAACATGGTTATTCATCAAATGGACGTTGTTACTGCTTTTCTTAACGGTCGGTTAGATGAGGATATCTACATGCGACAACCGGAGGGATATGTTCAATCTGGAAAAGAGCACTTGGTATGCAAGCTTGAAAAGTCGCTTTATGGTTTGAAACAGTCTCCAAGATGCTGGAACAGAGCCCTACAAGAAAAACTGGAGAAGCTTGGTTTCACTAAAGTTTCTGCAGATCCATGCGTTTACGCAAAGAAGGAAGACACACTGATTATCATTGCAGTTCATGTAGATGATCTGATCATATTGGCGGAGAATGTCCAAGAAATGGAAATGTCCTAAACGTGGAGTTTAAGATGACAGATATGGGAGAGCTACAGTATTATGTCGGAGTCAGCGTTGTCCAGGATAAACAGAATAACCGACTATGGCTACACCAGAGACAGTACATTAACAAAATAGTCGTAAAGTTTGGACAAGCTGAAGCTAAAACGGTCGCAACGCCTGCTGACGTGAATGTCAAGTTAATCAAAGAAGACAGAGTCAGTAAACCAGTTGATCCAACGCAATACCAGTCCATCATCGGAAGTTGTCGCCACTCGCCACTTGCAGTCGCCACTCGTCCAGATATTGCATATGCAGTGGGAGTTTTGTCAAAATTTTGTGCTAAACCGTCGGAAGCACATCTAACTGCTGCTAAACGAGTTCTACGATATTTAAAAGGAACTGAAAATCTTGGCTTGAAGTACGATGGATCCACTGACGAAAGTTTAACGGTCTACTCCGATGCTGATTGGGCAGGTGACCTTGATGACCGACATTCTACTAGTGGTAATGCATTAATTATGGCAAGTGGAGCAGTAAGCTGGTTGAGTAAGAAGCAACCGACAGTTGCAATGTCGACAGCAGAGGCAGAATATGTCGCCTTGAGTTTCGCTACGCAAGAAACAATATGGCTTCGTCAGTTACTTGGTGATATTGGTCAACCGTTGGCTGAAGCAACTGTGATCTACGAAGACAACCAAGCAGCTATTTCGATAGCGAAGAATCCTGTATCGCATGCACGAACCAAGCACATTGATACACGCTATCATTTTATTCGTGAGGAGCTACAAAGTGGAGTTATTGCTCTCGAGTACGTTCCAACAAGTGAAATGGTCGCAGACATTCTGACGAAACCGTTATCGAAATCTCAGTTCGTGAAACTCCGAAATGCTCTTGGACTAGAACTTATTGTTTAACATTTAAAAATGTCAAAAAAGTGGGAGTGTCATTAATAGGTCATTAATTACTAGTGTTTTTGACATTAGTTGGTTTATATTCAATTTAGGACAATAGACAATTTAGGTTATTTAGATTTATTCAAATTTGCATGACATATAACATGTTGTTGTTGTTGTAAAAGTTTTTTAGTTAGAAATACATTTATCGCAAAACAACAATCGGATTGTGAGTTTGTCTACAGGAACTCAACGTCACTAATGTGTTACTATCTATCTGTTACTATCTGTTACTATCTATCTATCTGTTACTATCTATCTATCTATCTGTCACTATCTATCTATCTGTCACTATCTATCTATCTGTCACTATCTATCTATCTGTCACTATCTATCTATCTGTTACTATCTATCTATCTGTTACTATCTATCTATCTGTTACTATCTATCTATCTGTTACTATCTATCTATCTGTTACTATCTATCTATCTGTTACTATCTATTTATCTGTTACTATCTATCTATCTGTTACTATCTATCTGTTACTATCTATCTGTTACTATCTATCTGTTACTATCTATCTGTTACTATCTATCTGTTACTATCTATCTGTTACTATCTATCTGTTACGGTCTGTCTGTCTGTCTGTCTGTCTGTCTGTCTGTCTGTCTGTCTGTCTGTCTGTCTGTCTGTCTGTCTGTCTGTCTGTCTGTCTGTCTGTCTGTCTGTCTGTCTGTCTGTCTGTCTGTCTGTCTGTCTGTCTGTCTGTCTGATGAAATTTTAGGAATTATGCCGTCCGACCACGAAGAAAATGACTTGCTAGCGGAGGTAGACGACGAACCGATGAGTGTAGATCTGAAAGCAGTGCCGAAAGTTCTGACAGATTTAAGAGGGCCTCTCAGTAAAATCCACTCACTGGTTTGGGGAAGGAAAAATAGATTTAGCTCATATTTTGCATATGAACTAGACTTTGGTCAATATTAATCAAGCTTCTTTCAGAACGTTTCAACTTTCTGTTTTATAGGAGTTATAGCCATGTTAAAATTTGACCTTGCGAGAATATTTTCAGACCGGAAATGAAGGGGAATTTTACAAGAATTCATCTGACTTTTTAAAAACGTTGCGAGGCGTTTATCCCCTCCAGTTACTGTTCACATGCAAGATTAACACTAATACTCTCATTTACATGGAGATTGAACAACTTTATTTGCTTAATACGAATTTTTTATAGTTTTACGAAACTATGTTTTCAAGATGGCGACGAGAGGCTGAAAATTGCTCATATTTTACTTAAAATAGCTCAAAAGTGGCACCTATCTGAAGTTCAAAAGGCATGTAATTTGAAAGTATACCTACTAAAGTTAAGTAATCAGGAATAAAACTTGTCTGCAAGCAATTTTCTGAAAAGTTATAAATCTCCAAATTGGGTCTATTTTTAGCTGTTTGTTTACATTCGCGTGTTCGCTGATCAGCGACACTAGTAATTGAAGAGTTAAAATAAGCTGATTTATTACCCATGAGTAAACTTTTTTAGCTTGTTCAAAAGAATATATACAATTTTGTGAAAATATAATTACAATATATACAATTAAGCGATCGTGTACAGAACATTCTTGAATTCGAATTACTTTACATTTATACTTAACTTTATACACTTGCACTAATTATACACTTTCAATATACACATACAGTAGTACAGTTACAACGATTCTGCTGGTGTCTACGATCCTGATATCTTTTAATGTTATTAAATAATATATTGGTAATATAATAAGAACTTCGTCAATACATTGACACAATACCATAATCTCCTGATTATGACCTTGATCCAGGGGCGCCGGAAGCAATGTGAAGCGGCGGGACAGCCATTTCAAAAGACTCAAAAGGGCATTTGCTTCTAAGCAATCATTTTTCTGGGCGGCAATATTTGTTAAAACTTTATTGTATGGATACTCGATTACTGGTGGCTATTGTTTGTCGGCAAACTTCGATATTAATTTTGAACAATTTTATTCGTTGCACCATGTTAAGGGCGCTGATAAAATCAGTAAACAGACGTATATTGCCTGGTTTAGCATTAATCAGGGGCCGCGGAACCGGGGACAATGGGGCATGTGCCTCACCACATTTTAAAAGTGAAAAAATGCCTTTTTGGGGGGCTAGAAAGGAAATGCCCTTTTTGTAGTAGTAAATGCCCTTTTTGTAGTAGTAAAGGCCATTTCCGACTTTATAGGAACTCCATATTTTCAAAAATCGTTTGATTTTGATCACAATTATACAAAAGTAATTCCGCGGCGTCTGGCATTAATTTTACTACAACTGGTTAAAATTAAGCAAAGGTTGCTTAAAATAGTTATAAATTCCAATTCATGTTAATAACGCACAAACAGGGGCGGCGGAACAGGGGAGGCTAAAGCCCCCCCAAAAGTAAACGTGGGGGGGGGGGCTAGCCCCCCAGAAAATTCTGTTTTTTTCTGGAAAAATTTTAATAATTAAGGAAAAATTTAGGGTATTTTTTGAAAATTTAGGTACAAGGGGAAAAATTTGCTATATTTTGTTTAAAAATAGTGTTTGTCCGGAAAAATGTTTTGTTATAGGTCCGGAAAAATTTTTTTCGTTGGGGGGGAGGTCACGGAAAAAAATTTAGCCACCCCGAAATGAAATCTGTTCCGCCGCCCCTGCGCACAAATTTCGAAGCGCAGTTCTGGTGAAAAAGGGCAAGCTGTTGCCCCCGTGCCGCCCCCGCACTGTTTCGGCAACGGGGGCAGTTGCCCCCGTGGCTCCGGCGCCCCTGCCTTGATCTGCCGCTAAGTTCACTCCAATAATCGGTGAATTATTCCATAATTATTCATACTTCAACACTTATATACTATCAATAAGTGGCTCTGGTCCACAAAACACACTGATTCCCTCGGCCTCGATCTCAGTAAATATAAAGTGATAATACATAAGTTTAATGTTTAGTTACTTTTGTTATATTCAGTCTATGCTTCTGTAAACTAGAACAATAGTAACTAGGCATGTGAGTTATCCAAAGCTGTGAATTGGGTAGCAACGATGTAAACAGCGTTAGCCAAATCCTTCTACTGGCTTCACTTTTTTATAGAGTCTATACACTGATTTCATATTGACAGGATAGACCCAATTGAAAATGAACTAATAACAGACTGGATAGTCATGTTTGTCAGCATTCCTGCGTAGGTAAAAGTGCCCTCACTCTCGTTGATGGTAAGCCTCGTGAGGTGACAACTGCTGGGGTGAGTACAAATGTCTGCATTACACTCACCAATTTGTGCAACATTTTGTATTCCCCGGCTTTCTCCACATGCAAAATTCCCCAGGCCAGCAAAAGAACAGTTCTTTTCCATGACTCAAGCATGCACAAAGTAAAAATAGGAGCTGCTATAAAAAATAACTGGCAAGCTAGTGTTGCAGTTCAGCATGAGCTCCACCTTTGAATTTATTATATGAGTAAATTCTTAAACACGTCCGAAATTATCATTATGATGATAAATTCGCAGCACATTTTAAATTTATCATAATAATAAGTTTGCGGCACTAACCCCTAACCACTAATCCCCTAACTCCTAACCAGTAATCCCTAACTCTTAACCCTAACTTTTTTAACCGTTTTAAAATTTTTAAACTTTTTAAAAATCTAGCTTTTTAAACTTTTTTGCTTTTTAAAACTCTTTTAAAACATTTTCAAAAACTATTTTTTTGAAAATCTCTGTCTCTTACTGCAGTATTTCTGTTATTGTAGCGGTTAACAAATTATAGGGAAATACGGCGACATAAGTTAAATTTCAAAATTCTTTATATGTGTTCATATGCAGTGAATCAAACGAAAAATGCGACCTTTGTTACAATTATTTAAAATATTACAAAAATAAAAAACAACTAAATTTTATCGCCATATTTCTCCATAATTCGGCAATCGCTACAATAATGTAAAAGTCAAAACAAAATAGTAAATGACAACAGACTAGAAAAGCGGAAGTGGGAAGGTTGTAGTATTTTGACTGCAATTATGTACAAAAATATGTTGCATCCATGCTGCAAGAATTAATGTCCGACCCGACCTTTCCGGCAAAATTTCCATTTACAGGGACAGAAAAAGATTACGACACAAGTTGAATAAAAAAGTTAAAGCACCGAACACTTTTTATGTACAGCCAGAGATACTGACAGCTTTGAAATTTGCTATAACCACAGAAAGTACTGCCCGATTATACCTTAACAAGATATTTAACAGTTGTGAAATTATTCATGCGAATAAGCCAAGAATGGTTAAGGTTGTATTTTTAATGTTTTTATGTTGTGAATTAGAAGCTGGATAATAAACCAGCTTATTTAATTTTTTAATTATTACTAGTGTCGCTAGCGAACACGCGAATGTAAACAAACAGCTAAAAATAGGCCCAATTCGGAGATTTATAACTTTTCAGAAAATTGCTTGCAGACGAGTTTTATTCCCGATTACTTAACTTTAGTAGGTATACTTTCAAATTACATGCCTTTTGAACTTCAGATAAGTGCCACTTTTGAGCTATTTTAAGTAAAATATGAGCAATTTTCAGCCTCTCGTCGCCATCTTGAAAACATAGTTTCGTAAAACTATAAAAAATTCGTATTAAGCAAATAAATTTGTTCAATCTCCATGTAAACGAGAGTATTAGTGTTAATCTTGCATGTGAACAGTAACTGGAGGGGATAAACGCATCACAACGTTTTTAAAAAATCAGATGAATTCTTGTAAAATTCCCCTTCATTTCCGGTCCGAAAATATTCTCGCAAGGTCAAATTTCAACATGGCTATAACTCCTATAAAACAGAAAGTTGAAACGTTCTGAAAGAAGCTCGATTAATATTGACCAAAGTCTAGTTCATATGCAAAATATGAGCTAAATCTATTTTCCCTTCCCCAAACCAGTGGGTGGATTTTACTGAGAGGCCCTCTTAAGGTCTACGTTACGGAAACCGAAAATTTCCTTACGAAACTGGAACCTATTAAATCATCGTACGATAAGCCTTCCGAAACCTTTATCAACACCATACCCTTCGATTACCATTCCAATTCCTACTTCTGTTCCCTGGTGGCATGCTATGTTGCTATGTTTAAATCCGGATTTTCCGAGGATCACCTGACGAACAACTTTGTCCATTCGCACTCCAACATAGTAACCTCTATCGTCCGCTTTCACCTTCATTTCCACCTCTCGAGGTTTATGCGTAATCCCAAACTACTGGACCAGTATCTTACAGGGGATGATATACGAACCATTAGGAAGTATACGCCTGTACGTGAAACATGGGTTAGGAGGACCGTCTCTTCCCACGCAAACATAGGAACATGGTACTACGGGTTACCCGTAAGCGAACAGAGGAGGATACGACGTCAAAAGTACCGTCTGACTAAATATGGAGGTTCATTTATCGAATACGAATATCTGACTGGTAGATCACCCTTTGATGTTGAAAATGATTATAAAACCCTCGTTCCCAGAACATCCCGGGGACTTACCAAAGTTGGACAGAAATTATTCCAGCAGTCTATCGAAGCATTTGTGTATTCAGTCCTGGGAGCACAGGCTAAAACCCGATGGAGTATCACGGGTCAGGGTGCAAAAAGTTTGCAGACCCAAGAGGTTTTCCGTAAGGTGGTAAAAGATACAATTGTACAAGACGATGTGACAGTTACCATCTCCGACATGAGGACGGCTATTGCTAACACCCACGTCGTCCTAAATTTTGCAATCATGCCGGGTTTAATCCTAATCCCCTCCGACCTGAGAATCTTAGTGAAACCTATCCCGGCATTTAGCAATGTCCTAACGGTAGCTAGAAACGGGATGACGTTCGGGATGAATGAGAAGGTGAATTATACGAGTAATCCTGTTTCTACCCCTACGAATAATAGTGATGAAAGCCATGACATTACACCAGTTTCCAGCATAGACGAAAGCCATGACATTACACCAACCCCAACCGTGGAGGACTTTAAACCCTCAGAACTAAGGCAGAAGTCTGATACCCAAAATATGGCTCTTGGGATGGCGGCAGTAGCATCCTTTGGACTTGCATACCTAGTATTTCGACGTTAAATAAAATGAGCATCCTACTCGGGTACGATTACTTTGATACAACAGCAGAGGACCTAGATATCTTAAAACGGAAATTAGCAGTAGTCGAAAAGGGACAGCAGGGAAACACGGCAGAAATTACCAAAAATACAAATGACATTGTAAGGCTGAATAGCCTCGGAGAAAATTACGTACAGTACGACCTTACCGAATTACCCTACCTCCCCGGATTTTATAAGTCCTTAGCCATTTCGGACGATGACAAGAAGAATGCAAAATTTATGGTCTTTAAGGTGAGTGAATTCGAGATAAATTTTTCAACGCCGTCTCCACCATACGGATTCTACGAAGGAAGTATAGGAACGGTGGTTATGTTTACGGTCACTCAAAGAAGTGCTATCGTCCGCACATCCTTTTCGTTCACAGTACAAGGTGCATAGTAAGTCTTAACGGTCTCGAATACAAAAACATAGATTCTGCCGGAAATGCAACCGTCAGAAATGAGGCAACAACTATAAATTTTTTCCTCATGACAACATAAAGTTTTAAATCCAAATGGTAGGATTTAAAATATTCGTGTTAATCCGTAAGCACCGCCAACACCAAGTATACCCACTGTCAACACTGCGTATCTTTTCATCTCGTCCGATGGTTGATAGTAATCCTCCAACTTAGGTCTGCGTTGGGATGCCGTATTATCCATCAGCCTCGTATAATCCCTCAGGTCTTCCAGTGCCCTGTTTGTTTCCTCGATGTCCTTGTTAGCATCCAGGATCTCGACCCTCCGTCTTGCCTCGTCGTTCCTGCGCTTCACTTCGGATTCGTAAAACTTCTCCTTGGCTTTTGCAAGCTTCTCTAAGGCTTGGTTATGTCTTTTTACCTCTTCCTTGTATCCTTGTCCATTCAGCTTGGAGAATAGAAAGCCGGCCCCGGCAAAGGCCACGGCATTAAAGAGTCCTCCCACCACGACAGATTTCATTCTTTTATTTGTCAATCATTTTTGGGATGTATCCCTTATCCTTAAGGTACCCTATGGTGAATGCACTTCCGGCTACGACAACGGCAAGCTTTGCCGCTCCTTCTAGGGTCATCGGTGCACCCAAGCTTTTTCCGGCAACCGTTTTGGTAAGGTAGGATACCCCAACGACTCCGGTTGTCAATAGTGCCGCATCGTACAGTTCGTTGATCACTTCCTTCTTAGTTTCGGCCATTATGTCTTTTATTATAGAACTATTTATCCTTTAGCTTCTCTTCTAAGATTAGGGAAAATTTTCTTTCCAGGGTGTCGAGCATCCTGTCTTCGCTTTCTTTGCGTTCGGCTTCTTTCGCTCTGCATTTGTCTTCTTCCACCTCAAGCGTGTGGATGTAAATCAGCGCGGCTCCGGCTGCTACGAAGGTCAGTATGTCCAGAAATGGTTGTGACATTGTTTTATTATACTCAGTCAAACAAGTCAGGACCTTTTGGTGTGATAACAACGGGTTCCGGCTCCTCTACAATCCTACTTTCCTCTGGCTTCTCGTCCTTTTCCTGACGACTACAGCACATAACATAGAGGGATCCGAGTCCTACGGCGATACCTACTACCAGACCTACCATATCTAGGGTGACTATTGACCTTTCATTTTCGGATTCTTCGGTCAGAACGTTCTGCTCTTCCTTAATAGCTTCAAACCGTGCTTTCTTCCTTGCTTTCGCTTCCTTACTGATCTTAGCAAGCCTACGCCCGCCTCCACCCTCCTGGGATCCTTGACGTGGGTCTTTACCGGATTTGTGACGGGTACTGCTGCGGTGTCTGGGTTTACTTCCGACATGGTTTCTCTTTATTGATAGTAGGATTTAACTAACTTGATGAGTAACCTTAAATCTAGTCAAAAGTTAGTCAAGAGTAGATCTGAGTTAATTTGCAAGTAAATTTGAGTTAACTTATGAGTAAATCTGAGTTAACTTGTGAGTAATCTTAAATCTAGTCAAAAGTTAGTCAAGAGTAATCTTAAATCTAGTCAAAAGTATCTCACGAGTATATCTGAGTTAACTTGTGAGTAATCTTAAATCTAGTCAGAAGTATCTCAAATTCAGAATCAACAGTTTATAGACAAGACTTCCTACATATAAACAAAGGAACCATGAGGCGACACATTAGAAGAAGGGACAGGAGGATTCGACTTTATTTTGACTGTCCAGAAAAAATGGATCGTATCATAAGGATGCTTAATCAAACCGGCCGCAAGGATATAACATTTGCCTTCACAGCCATATCCTTAGCTATGTGTAGTTATGCAGGAATAGAATTTAAGTTCGGACAGGGGTGGATGGGGAAGGATGCTGAGATCCGAAGTGTGAACTACCCCTACGGAGGTTTGAAAGGTATTACCGTTTTCTTAACCATTTCCGGTATAACCACAATATATAAATGCTGTCTCAAAAGTTCGGAGGATAAAATCCAACTAGGTAAACCCACGAAAATCATATACAACTGGTCAGGAAAAGCAGAGTTGCCAGGTAGTGACCTGGTGGGGTTTTCAAATTATAGGCAGCAGAATCAACAGAATCAACTTTTCCGAAATAAGTTTTATATAATAAAAGTACACCTTCCCATACGTCCGATTCCGTGGACATTTTGTGAACTCCATTGCTTTTTTCAAACCTTATAGGTTTGAAAAACAGAATCAACCTTAAAACCACCTTATAGAAAAACCTTTCTATATAATAAAAGCAATGGAGTTCACCAAACAAAATGCTCCAATTTCGCACAAAAAATTCGCATCCATTGAACGGATGAGAACTGACGTCCTTGAGATGGCCAGGGAGAGAGGCCTAGAAATAGAAGGGAAAATTAACAACCACTTCGACGAACTGACCAAGAAGGAGAAGAGGAAAATAGTGGGAAAGGAAATTAAATCAGCAGCGAGACAGTTCCGGAAACGCAGGAAGCAAACCGAGGCCGACGCGAGAAAGGAAATAAGGGATGCAAAGAAATGGAAGAGCGACATCGCTAAGGAAGAGAAGAAGCGTCGAAAGGAAGTCACGGACTGGAAAGCCGAGGCTCAAAAATGGAAGAAGGAAACCCAGCGACTGCGGCGGAATGCAAGGGCTCGGGAAAGACGAGCCGAGGAAAACCGCAGGATTGCAGAGGGTAAATGGAAGGGTAAGAAGAAATTCGCCAAACTCCAACTGAAGGTGGGTGACAAGCTTAGAAAAATCTGGGAAAAACCGAGGGAAATCCTGGAACCCATCCTAGTCAAACACGCCATCAAGAAAAAGGTAAAAAAGTACGTCATCACCCCAAACGGTAACTGCGACCCAGCCTACTTCCTAACCATCACGGAAGATGAGGTTAAAACACTCATAAACTCCGAAACGGAACCCAGGAACGTAAGGATGTCCCTAGTCTGCGAAATGGTAAGGAGCGATCCGAAAACCGGGGAGGAAGTGTCAACAATCGCTCACTTCGGATCGAAGAACCACAAACTTATCGGTACGGACGATACGGAAGAAACCCAGGGTATCATGAGGGAAAAGATGCTGAAGTCCTTTTCGGAATACCAGAGGAGGGGTAGCGGATGGAGACTACGTAGAGTTACCCAGCTGGAAATCCACATCGGAGAGTTCCGACCACTTAGGGGTAAGAAACACGAACCACTACCCAAATCCATAGCTGACAAAAAGGCGATCATCAACATGAAGAACGACGACGACGAGTGCTTCAAGTGGGCTGTCACACGTGCCCTGAACCCCACCAACACCCATCCGGAAAGAATCACAAAAGAACTCAAAAGGCAATCCGAAGAGTTAGACTGGGAAGGGACCGAATTCCCAACACCGATAAACGGTATCAAAAGATTCGAGAAAAACAACAACACAGGCATTAACGTGTTCGGCGCCGACGAAAGACTCGAGGTCTACCCCTTACGGTTATCAGAAAAGTCCGATCCCATAAGACTTTTCCTATGGAAAAACCATTACAGTGTAGTCAAGGACATGTCTAGACTCGTGGGTTCACAAACACCTGGAACTATGCTTGAACAACGACTACCAAAGACACGAATATCCAAAACCCGGAAGCACCACAAAATTCGAAAACTACGAAAAGATACAAGAATTCCCAATTACCATTTACGCAGACTTTGAGTGTTACATCAGGAAATTGATCGCAGAAGAGCAAAGTCCAGTCAAGTCAAGTACCACACAATACCAAAAACACAACCCCAGCGGATTCTGCTACTACATTAAGTGCTTCGACAACTCCATCTACAAACCCAAGCTGGTAAATTACACCCAACAATACGAAGGCATCACCAAAAAATTTGTGGACCTCCTCGAGGAGGAAACCCGAGATATCTACAGCAAGTTCAAGTTCAAAAAGCCCGTCAGAATGACCTACAGGGATACCAAAGACTACGAAGAAGCAACCAACTGCTACGCATGTAAGGAAGAATTCACCCTAAAAGACTACAAAGTCAACGACCACTGTCACTACACGGGAAAATATAGGGGTGCAGCACACAACTCGTGTAACCTCAGGATGAGGCAGCCGAAATTCATACCGGTCCTCTTCCATAACCTCGAGGGGTACGATGCCCACATATTCATCAAAAACCTCGGGGTGAGCAGCGGAGACATCAAGTGCATCCCTAAAACGGAAGAAAAGTATATATCCTTTACCAAAGAGGTAGTGGTCGATACATTCAAAAAACAAGGATGGTAAGGAAAAGAAAGTTAAAAGGAAATTAAGATTCCTGGACTCCTTCAAATTTATGGCAAGCTCCCTGGACAAACTCACCAAGGGTCTGGGCAAGGACGACTTCGAAAATCTGGACCTAATGACATCCCACTACACCACAGAGCAACGGGAAATCCTTAAGCAGAAAGGTGTATACCCCTACGAGTACATGGATGGATTCGACAAGCTGGAAAGAACATCCCTCTCACCCAAGGGTAAATTCTTCAACAGTCTAACCAACGAAGACATCAGCGACACCGACTACAGGAGAGCACAGAATGTGTGGAACACCTTCGGTATGAAAACCATGAGGGATTACCACGACCTCTACCTCAAAACGGACGTCCTACTCCTGACAGACGTTATGGAAAACTTCGGGAAGGTATGCATAGCAAACTACGGACTCGATCCCCTGTGGTACTACACATCACCGGGACTGGCGTGGGATGCGTGTCTAAAACTAACCGAAGTAGAACTGGAGCTTATTTCCGATCCGAACATGTATCTACTCATAGAAAGAGGAATCCGCGGAGGAATCAGCACCATCACCAAAAGACATGCCATAGCCAACAACAAGTACATGGCTAACTACGACCCCAAGAAGAAAAGCAAGTACCTCCCCTACCTGGACGCAAACAACCTATACGGATGGGCAATGAGTCAGCCCCTACCCATCAAGGACTTCAAATGGATGAAAGACAACGAGTTGGAAAAATGGATGGAACACAGCTGCATCCTCGAAGTGGACCTCGAATATCCGGACGAACTACACAACCTACACAACGAATACCCCCTAGCACCCGAAAGGATAATGGTCAACAAAACGGAAAAGCTCATACCCAACCTCAACAACAGGGAAAAATACGTCCTCCACCACACAAACCTAAAACAGTACCTGAGCCTGGGGTTAAAGCTAACCAAAATACATCGAGGAGTTAAATTTACCGAAAGCGACTGGATGAAAAAATACATTCAGCTCAACACAGACCTCCGAACCAAAGGAACCACAGACTTCGAAAAGGACTTCTTCATTAAGCTCATGAACAACTCCGTATTCGGAAAGACCATGGAAAACGTAAGGAACAGAGTCGACATCAGAATCGTCAACGATGAAAAGAAATGGAACAAGCTATCCGAGAAAGACAACTTCAAGTCGGTAACCATCTTTTCGGAAAACCTGGTGGCAGTTCATATGAGGAGAACCTCCGTAAAGCTGAAAAAAACCATCTACCTCGGAATGAGTATCCTGGACATTAGCAAAACCCTCATGTACTACTTTCATTATAACTACATCAAACCGATGTATGAAAACGATGCCAAACTCCTATTCACAGACACGGACTCCCTGTGTTACGAAATAACAACCGAGGACTTCCTAAAGGACATTTCCAAAGATGTTTACGAAAAATTCGATACCAGCAACATAGGCAAAAACCACCCCTCCGGAATTCCGACCGGAATAAACAAGAAGTTTATCGGAATGATGAAATCGGAAACAGGAGAAAAACAGATCGGAGAATTCGTAGGACTCAGAGCAAAACTGTACGCCTACAAAATGGCGGAAGACGGAAAGGAAGAAAAGAAATGTAAAGGCGTCAAGAAGACAACCATCAAAAAGGAAATAACGTTCAACAACTATAAGGAATGTCTCTTCAGCGGCGAGAAACAGTGGAGGGGAATGAACGTCTTCAGAAGCAGGCTACACGAAATATATACCGAAAGGATCGTCAAGGTGGCCCTATCGGCAAGCGACGACAAACGTATCATCTGCGAAGATGGAATACACACCCTGGCAATAGGACACAAGGACCTAAGGCAATAGAAATCCCAACAAACTGATTTTAATATCCGAAGGAACATTAAAATATAATAGGATCTACAGAAGCCTCTTCCACGGTTCTGCAACCTTTACCCTCAGATACTTTGCCTCCTGAAGCTTAACCTGAACGGAAATCGTGTTTCCGGATAGGTATATGCTCGAAATCCTAATCAAAGCATCCAGCTAGAAGTGTTCGTCACGCTCCTCCATCGGATTCATGTCTCCGTCCTCTCCATACATCACCGTAGTCTTATCGATCTTTGCGTACAGGACGGGTTGCTTCCCACTCCGATAGAAGCATCTCATCACGTTGGTACCCGACTTACCAACCATTACAGCACACTTCTTCTCCAATACTTCCAGAACTGATATGAATTCCGTGTGTAGTCCAACTGCCAACGGAATTGTGTAGTTGTCCTTTCCGAACTTATTGTTCTTGTTGATTCCATAGGCTAGGCAATTCTTCAGCCTAAGTAGCAATGGACCACCACCCTCCGCAACAAGTCCGATCCTCTCGGATCCAAACCTGTCCTTGACAGGGTCCACAAATTTAAACGAGTCTCCGGAAAAGTCTGATACTCTGGTAATTGACATGGTTATTTATTATACAATTATAATTTCTTACAAGTTGATTTGATAAAAAAAATCTTCACCGAAAACCCCAACAAGCGTGCGGGATGCAGCGGATGCGGTGGGCCCGCGGAGGACTAAATTCATCGGGTCAACACCCGCGGGAATTTCCGACAGATTGTCGGAGCACGTGCGTGTACACTTGCGTACCCGCGTGTGCGTGGGCACGGATGCGCGAGGGCGGGGGAGGGGTCCGGCAGGCATGGGCGGCGCAGGGAACTGGGGAACCGGAAGTGGCGCTGTCGATTCTATTCCGGGAAGGCGGAATTCCGGGAAGGCGATTCCAGGCGTGCCCGAGCTTGCCCTGATCCACTATAATTTGCCTTACATGAAGTATTAACCAAAATGAGCTAGAACCGGCCTTTATTAGCTACTGTGGCTGAAAACTCCTAATGAGCTAATCGATAAATTTACAAATTTCACTTTTTCATAATTTTTAAGCTGTTCGTTAATTAGATCTTGATAATTTTTACTTTTTCGAGTTGCATTAGTGAGGAGATTAGATTCAAATCCAACGGTAAGTTCAAGTATATAAATACATTTGTTTTCAAGTGTTATCAAAAGATCAGGGCGCAATTCATCTCCGATGAGAACAGATGGACTGATATAGCCAGGAAGGTCAGCATAAAGGTTACAATGGTTGACAGATTTAAGTATGGATGCTATGAAGTTAAGCACCGAATCATGACGCCACGTGAAACGTCCTTCATTTAGGTAGGTCTTGCATCCAGCGACGACGTGAAGAAGTGATTCTGGATTCAAACAAAACGAACATTCGGATGTTGGTCATATTCCCCATTTCAGAAGGTTTTTGTGAGTCGGAAGAGTGTTATTTATATACCGGATAGTGAAGTTAAATATATTCTTCGGAAGTTTACTCTGAACGGAGGACCATATAGAGTTGAATTAATGAGAGTGTAGAATGTTTAATGATATTGGAGAAAAATGAGCCTTGTGAAATGAGGTGGTGTTGAAGCTTGTCTTCATGTTGTTTCCTGATGGTGTTTAATACGTCCTTGGTGTTTTTGTATTTGTCATATTGTACATTTTTGTGATTGCTAGTATTCTTCCAAAGGTTATTGATCGCTTCATTTGGCGACGACTTTAGGGCTTTCCGAGAAACAGTTTGGTATTGAAGGAATTTGGTTTAAGGTAGAATGATATTTAATCCAAATTTATTGTGGGGAAGTAGGACGTTACTAAGGGTTGCAGAAATAGGAAGTTCAAGCCATTTTCGGATATACGTGGACACGATACTATCTAGTAGTTTATCGTTAACCCAGGTTTTGCCTATGTCAGAAACAGTGAAGTGCCAAGAGATTTTGGAAAGCACATAACGACTGTATAAGAGAATTTTGTTTTTCGGATGTAATGGTAGATCATCAATTTCATTCAGGATATTAGTAAGTGTCTCATATACTTCAGATTTGTGATCTTCGTCGGACATGTTGAAATAATAATGGAAACTTTATTGAAATTATATACGTATATATACAATTATAAATCTCACTAATTTAGGTAATTTATAATTGACTACTTGAACCTACTTAATATTTATATATTAATAATGAGTATCCTTAAATGTTCAGTAATTCCGGATTTAACCAGTCCTTATCTCTGCAACAAAATATATAATATGTTGTCCTAATCGCGATAGACATAATTTTCCTGATAGCGAAATATTGGTGTCTTTTATCAAGACCTAGATCAGTTTAACATATCTAAAAAGGAATGACATTCTTTTGAGAAAACGCCTAAAGAACTAATTGACAAATTTACAAATTTTACGGACTTAAATTGTTTCTTTTGCTGTGTAATGAGATCTTCTTCTTTTCCGATCAACATTTGTTTGTAGATTAGACTCATAACCAACAGAAAGTTCAAGGATATAGAGACAATCCGAGTTGATAGATAGAAGTAGGTCTGGGCGGAATGTGTCACCAGTTACAATTGATGGGCTTTTATAACCAGGAAGATCGACGAAAAGATTGGAGTTGTTTACAGGTTGTAGCGTTTGTGCTATGAAGTTCAGAACAGAATCATGTCTCCATGTAAATCGTGGGAGGTACGTTTGACATCCAGCAACTACGTGTAAAAGGGTTTCAGGGTTTAAGCAGAAGGAGCAATCAGAGTTGGACAATATTCCGCATGTAGTAAGGTTTTTACGAGTTGGAAGTGAGTTATTAATGTAACGAATGGTGAAGTTATAGATGTTCTTTGGGAGGTTTGATTGGGATTTAGACCATATGCCGTTTAATTTCGACAGTGAAAACTTAATGACATTTGAGAAGAAGGAGCCTTGCAAAATCAGATGATTCTGCAGTTTGTCTTCTTGTCCGGAGGTAAAAGTTTTAAGGACTTCCTTTGTCGAGGTGTAGACGTCGTACTGAATCTTTTTGCTTTTAGATGTTGTTTTCCAGAGGTCTTTTATGGAATGATTTGGAGAGGTCTTTAAGGCGTTACGAGCAACTGTTTGGCACTGAACAAGCTTAATTGACGGCGGGTAGATATTTAGACCAAACTTGTTACTGGTAAGGTAGACGTTAGATAGAGTTCCTGATATAGGTATTTCAAGCCATTTACGTACGTACTTGTTCACCACAGAATCCATATTTTCAGAGACCCAGGTTTTTGATAAGGTGGTTACAGTGAAATGCCAGGAAAGTTTGGATAGGAGGTAACGACTATAAAGCAAAAGTTTATTTTTTGGGTGCAAAGGTTTGAGATCAATTTCAGACATAATGTCGTCCATGAGAGTGATTAGCTCTTGTTTGTGTTCTTTTTCGGAAATACTGAAGTCAAAATATTTCCCCAAGTATCGAAACGACTCTCCAATTTTAGTGGCAGGTATCAATTCATTGTTAATCAGAAGTTTAGGTAAATATTGGATAGATTTTGTCAGACTTTTCCTGATCCCAAATGTTGAACACTTATCAACCCTGACAATCATGTTAGACCACTGGCACCAGATCGAGAATCGATTTAAAAGATGTTGATTTTCTGAATCTTGACCGCTTATTACTGCAGCATCATCAGCGAACTGGAACCCATGGACTGGGTTTAAAAGATTTGTAATGAAACCAAATTGCCGGTATTTGTCAGTTTTTATATGTTGAATAAAGGTATTGATGCACATATTAAAAATTAGAGGACTAAGACAGTCTCCTTGAAGAACTCCACAACCGACAGTCATAAATGGGGTGGAGAATTCTGATGTTATAAATGCAGTATTGAAGTCCGTATACAAGCTCTTTATTATTTCACTAACGTCTTTGGGAATGTGATGATAGTCGAGGACAGATTGAATTAGATTATGATGCACTTCACCAAAAGCATTCTTGAGATCGAGAAGGGTGATGACAACAGAGCGCTGCTTTATTCTCGCTTGGTTGATAATATTTGTCATTTGAGCAGTGTGTTCCAGAGTGCCAGACAGATTGGGAGTGAAACCTTTTTGAATCTGATGTTCAATAAAGTTATTAGTAGTTAGGAACGAGAACATAGCATTGCGGAGACAAGAGGTAAACACTTTTAGTGGTATAGTTTCTAGAGTAATTGGGCGGAAATTGGAGGGGTCACTTGTATTGCCTTTTTTGTGGATAAGAATAGAACACGCTTTTTTCCATTCAGCTGGTACAGATTTCGAAGACCAGACGCTACGTATCACTTCGGTTAGATAAGTGCGCAAGAATGGACAATGTTTGAAGCAAATGATTGAAAGTTGATCTAGAGGACAAGGCGATCCAGAAGCTTTCATTCTGCGAATAATGTTTGTAACTTGGCGATATGTTGGGGGTTGAAGGTCAAAGTTTACGATAGGATCGGATAACTTCGGAATCCAGCTTGGAATACAAAACAGTTTGTTTGGGTTAATTGAACCACAGTTTATAGATTGAACATAGAGTTTTCTTGAAATAGTTTAGGCATTCTGACATTGGAAAGCATGGAAGTAGGCAAGTATTCTTATTCAGGACGTTCTTAACGTAACCCCAGAAATTTCTAGTAATGTAATTGTCGTGATTGAACGTTTTGTTTTGGTTTTGAGTTGAATTGATTTGACAAGCATTACGCAACTTATCACGCAATGTGCGAGCTACATATTTGATTTCGTGAAGATCAGCGTTCGATAGCTTTAGTTGTTTTAGACATTTCTTTAAGGCTTTTACTGTTTGGTCTTTATACTTATTCACTAGCTCTTTATCCGGCATCTTCTCAACATAACCGAAGTTATCAGCGAAATAGTTGTAGACAACATCATTCATTAGCGTAATGCTTGAGCTTAGATCTTCAATTCTGATTGGCGCATTTAGTCGCAATTCAAATTTGAAATAGCTGTCAGCCGTTGACCATTCTGCGTCGCTTTTGGGAAGCTTTACCCCTTTCTTCAACACTGGAAAATTCTGATCGCTCGCAATATTTTCCATTACATCAATTTCCTCAAATGTAGAATGAGTAGAAGTATTCGTAGTCGAGTTCTCAGTAGATTGCTGTTCTAATATGTTCTAATATATTCTTTTCATGTTGAAATAATAATAATAATAATAATAATAATAATAATAATAATAATAATAATAATAATAATAATAATAATAATAATAATAATAATAATGATAATAATGATAATAATAATAATAATAATAATAATAATAATAATAATAATAATAATAATAATAATAATAATAATAATAATAATAATAATAATGATAATGATAATAATAGTAATAATAATAATAATGAAAACTTTGTTGAATTATATATGTCGTACTGAATATTAGTGTGATTGTTAGTTGATTTCCAGAGTTCTTTTATGGAATCATTTGGGGATGTTTTTAAGACGTTGCGTAGGACAGTTTGACATTGGATAAATTTGACGGATGCAGGGAGGATATTCAGACCGAATTTGTTATGGGTTAGATAAATATTACTTAATGTTACAGAAATGGGTATTTCAAGCCACTTTCTGATGTATTGATTAATCACAGAATCGATTGTTTCCGTTACCCAGGTTTTCGACAGGGGTGCAACAGTGAGATGCCAGAAAATTTTGGATAGAACGTAGCGGTTGTGTAGAATAAGTTTGTTTTTTGGGTGTAGAGATTTATGGTCGATATCAGACATTAGTTCATCAATGAGAGACATTAGTTCAGGTTTGTGTTCTTGGTCGGACATATCAAAATCAAAGAATCTTCCTAGATATTTAAAAGATTCTCCCATATGAATAGTCGGTATGAGACCATTGTTATAATAATAATAATAATAATAATAATAATAATAATAATAATAATAATAATAATAATAATAATAATAATAATAATAATGAAAACTTTATTGAATTTCTTACGTATATATACAATTGTAAATCTCACTACTGACTTAGGTAATTTACAATTGGCTACATGAATCACAGAGTACTACATATGTACTATTTACAGTAAAAACAAGAATAAAATGGGTATATGATTATATATATTATTATATGTAGTTATTAATTTAAATGTTTAACAATTCAGGGTTTGTCCACTCTTTGTTTCGACAGCAAAAAATATAGTACGTCGCTCTAATGGCATAAGACGTCATCTTTTTTATGCAGTAATATTGCTGCTTTTTATCCATTCCTATGGTGTCTAACATTTCTAAAAAGGTGAAGCATTCTTTATCAAACACACCGAGAGAGCTCATTGATAAGTTTGCAAATTTAACAGAATTAAAGTGACCCCTTTGATCTTCAATTAGATCTTTATATTTAGCTTTTTTAGATTAGATTCACGTAGATTAGATCCAAACCCGACAGTAAGTTCAACGACATAAAGATCTTCATTTGGAGTAATTAAGAGTAAGTCCGGTCAATATAGGTCACCAGTTATAATTGACGGGCTTTTGTAGCCGGATAGGTCAGCATAAAGTTGACATGGATTTATTGTTTGAAACGTTTCAGCGAGAAAATTTAAAATAGAATCATGTCTCCAAGTAAAGTGCTGAAGGTACGATTGGCAGCCGGCTACCACGTGTAGTAGGGTTTCAGAACACAAACAAAAGGAACATTTGGGACTTGAAGCTAAACCCCATCTTGTAAGGTTTTTTCGCGTAGGAAGAAAATGTTCTTAGGCAGTTTTTATTTGAAAATGTTCTTTGGCAGTTTTTATTGAGCGGCAGACCAAAGTGTGTTTAACTGTGAAAAGGAAAACTTTGCAACATTCGAGAAAAATGAACCTTGACAAATTAAACGGTGTTGAAGCTTATCTTCTTGTCCAGAATGAAAATCCTTGAGAACTTGCTTTGTTGAATAATATATGTCGTACTGAATGTTAGTGTGATTGTGAGTTGATTTCCAGAGTTCTTTTATGGGATCATTTGGGGATGTTTTTAAGGCGTTGCGTAGGACAGTTTGACATTGGATAAATTTGACGGATGCAGGGAGGATATTCAGACCGAATTTGTTATGGGTTAGATAAATATTACTTAATGTTCCAGAAATGGGTATTTCAAGCCAATTTCTGATGTATTGATTAATCACAGAATCGATTGTTTCCGTTACCCAGGTTTTCGACAGGGGTGCAACAGTGAGATGCCAGAAAATTTTGGATAGAACGTAGCGGTTGTGTAGAATAAGTTTGTTTTTTGGGTGTAGAGATTTATGGTCGATATCAGACATTAGTTCATCAATGAGAGACATTAGTTCAGGTTTGTGTTCTTGGTCGGACATATCAAAATCAAAGAATCTTCCTAGATATTTAAAAGATTCTCCCATATGAATAGTCGGTATGAGACCATTGTTATAATAATAATAATAATAATAATAATAATAATAATAATAATAATAATAATAATAATAATAATAATAATAATAATAATAATGGAAAATTTATTTATTAAGATTATTATGATATATACAACTACAATGGTAAACCTCGCTTTACAGGTAGTTTATCAATGTCTACTTGAATTGATACTATATATTTATTGCACAATAATTATTTTAAGAAGGATAATTATATTAACATTAATTTTGGGTTATCCCACACCTTGTTTCGTTTACAAAATATATAATATGATGTTCGTATGCATATGTTCACGATTTTCTTTTTTATGTATTTACTATACTTGGCATCACATTTAAGGCTACTTGGCATGCCATCGAAATTTTCAGAAGATCGGCCAAAAACTCCGAGGGTACTCAAAGATAAATTGACGAACTTGACTTTATCATAATCTGCTTCCTGCTCATTGATTAGATCACGGTACTTTTGACGCTTACGATTGGCGTTAACTTGCAGATTGGATTCATAACCGACTGTAAGCTCGAGGATGTATAGACATCTGTTTTCAGTCACCAGCAGAAGGTCAGGTCGTAAACGATCTCCCGTGATAACAGATGGATTCATAAAACCAGGAATGTCCGCGCAAAGTGTGGAATTTTTCACAGCAGTAAGAGTGGATGCGAGGAAATTTAAAACAGAATCGTGTCGCCATGTAAACCGGCCTTCGTCTAAATATGTCTTACATCCAGCAATCACATGGAGCAGCGTTTCAGGTGCGGAGCAGAAAGAGCAATCGGATGTTGATGATAGTCCCCATTTTGATAGGTTCTTTCGTGTTGGAAGTGTGTTATTGATATATCGGATGGTGAAGTTAAAAATGTTTTTCGAAAGTTTGCTCTGAACGGATGACCATAAAGAGTTGAATGTGAACGTGGAATGATTCATGATACTGGAAAAGAAAGAACCTTGCGAAATGAGGTGGTTTTGAAGTCTTTGTTCGTTTTCTTTTCTAACTGCCTTAAGTACGTCTTTTGTGTCTTTGTAAATGTCATACTGTACGTTCTTGTTGGTACTCGTCACCGCCCATAGATTGTTAATATCTACGTTTGGTGAGTATTTTAGAGCTGATTGAGAGACAGTTTGACATTGGATAAATTTTGTCGAAGGGAGAATAATATTCAGACCAAATTTATTTTGTGGAAGCAACACGTTGCTAAGGGTTGCAGAGACAGGAAGTTCCAGCCATTTTCGTATATATTTCGTCGCAATACTGTCTAACGTTTCGCAGATCCAGGTCTTAGATATATCAGAAACAGTGAAGTCCCAGGATATCTTTGACAGCAAGTAACGACTGTATAGTAGAATTTTATTTTTCGGGTGTAAGGGTATAGTTCATTAATTTTATTCATGATGTCATTAAACACACCGAGTAATTCTGATTTGTGTTCCTCATCAGACATATTGAAATCAAAATAGCGACCTAAGTAACGGAAAGATTTGCCCATTTCGGTTCTGGGTACAAGATGGTTATTAACGAAAAGCTTGGGTAAATACTGGATAGATTTAGTTAACTGTTTTTTAATGCCAAATGTTGAACATTTGTCAACGCGTATAATCATATTAGCCCATTGACACCAGATTGTAAAACGATTAAGGAGCATTTGATTTTCTTTCTCTTGGCTACTGATGACAGCAGCATCGTCTGCAAACTGAAACCAATGTATAGGATTGCACGGAATGCCAATTTCACTTAATTTCCAAAAACCAAGCTGACGGTATTTTTCAGATTTAATATGTTGTATGAAAGTATTGAATGACATGTTGAATAAAAGTGGACTGAGACAATCGCCTTGAAGAACGCCACGACCGACTGTAATGAAGGGGGTGTTAAACTGTTCGGTTATGATGGAAGTTTGGAAATCAGTGTAAAGACTGCAGATAAGGTTCTTTATGTGATTAGGAACGTGATGATAATCAAGGACTTCGTAAATGAGGTTATGATGGACTTCGCCAAATGCATTTTTAAGATCGAGTAATGTAATAACTATAGATCGTTGCTTGGTACGCGCTGTGTTAATTATATGTGCCATCTGAGCAGTATGTTCTAGTATTCCTGAGAGTTTTGGAGTGAAACCTTTCTGGATGTTTTGTTCTATGTAATTATTGTCTGACAGAAATTCGAATGTTTTATTTCGAAGACATGATGTGAAGACTTTAAGCGGGATGGATTCAAGAGTAATTGGTCGCAAGTTTGCTGAGTCGTTTGTTTCTCCTTTCTTGTGAATTAATATTGTGCATGCTTTTTTCCATTCAGATGGGACAACACCGCGTGACCAAGCTGCATGGATTATCTCAGTCAAGTAGGAGGCATACTTCGAAACCCGGACCGGACTCGGACTCGGACCCGGACTCGGACTCTAAGAAAATCCGGACTCGAGAAAAACCCGGACCCGGACTCGAAGAAAATCCGGACTCGTGTTTAAGAAAACCCGGACTTGACTTTTGAAAACCCGGACTCGAAATAGAAAAAAACGGATTCAAAACAAGGACTCTGTGTACGAGAATGCAAAGGTTTTTTAGAAAAGTTTAGTGTACCATTTTAGGGGTCAAAAAAATTTTCCGGACAAGCAATATTTTTCGGAACATAACAAAAATTTTCGAAAAATCACAAAATTTGCCAAAAAAAATACTTAATTTTAGACAAAATTAACAGAATTTGTCCCATTTTTTTTTATTGCAAACCAAAATTGCCCGACTGTTGATCGAATATTGCCCGACTGCCCAAAAAACTGGGGGGGGGGGCTACCGCCCCCCCCCCGCCCGGTACGCCTATGGTAATAATTGCGGGTGTCCCTATCTCTTCCCGCTTTCTATATATAGATATAGATAGAATACTTTATTTCAAAAGCAATAAGCTTGGTTTTGAAACATGTAGATCATTTTTTCTTGTAGTAACTCAGTGTTATGTGTTAACAATGTGAGGATACTAATCAGTAATCATACTATGATTCCTCACAAAATAATCACTATATAGTATATATACCTGAAAAATTATTTAGACACTTTAAACAGCTAAATCTACCCTAGACCTAAATTAATAACTAAAATCTCAAAATTGAGAAAATTGATCTAATCTCAAAATTGAGAAAATAAACGTGTTTACAGCAGCGTCTTGCCCAAATATATTTGAGAGCACTTTATAATATCAAATTGCCGCGACACCTTCATTGCCTTCAGCATGTGATGTGCTTTTCCGGATCGGTTGAAGTTACTTTGCTAAAACGGAAATAATTTTTATTGAGTTTGTTTTTTGGCAATATATATACTGTATATATATATATTCGGGACTTTGAAAGCTATCATTGGATTTGCTACCATTGAAATGATGGCCTAAGCCACAAAACACGGTCGAGTTATTTTTCGTGTCATTTTGACAAATTTTTCGAAAGTGTGCTGTCCATTGATACATGTGTTGGGGTATATTTTACCCTTGCCGCCATATCACGTTGTCTGCTATGGTTGCAGCAATCGTGTATCGAGATGGTTTCCAGACAAGACATTCTTGACTGCTGAGACAGATTTTAGTTATTAATTTACGGGTTTAGGGTAGATTTAGCTACTCGCGGAAGTATGCATAAATGCATTTTGGTGTTCAAGTGCCTAAATGATTTGTTCAGGTTTACTATATAGTGATTATTTTGTGAGGAACCATAGTATGATCACTGATTAGTATCCTCACATAACACATAACACTGAGTCACTAGAAAAGAAAATGATCTACACCTTTCGAAACCAAGCTTATTGCTTTTCAAATAAAGTATTCTATCTATATATAGAAAGCGGGAAGAGATAGGGACACCCGCGCGAGGGAACAAATCCGCAAATTTAATATTACCGATGCAACTCAGATTCTTTACCAGCACTACGCCAGATTGTGCAACAGCACTCTAGAAATTTATTTAATTAAAGATATATACCGGATTACTGTTATAAGAGATCATCGTTTATCATGTTAACTATTATTAAACCTTTCCAAAAAACCTTTGTATTCTCGTACACAGAGTCCTTGTTTTGAATCCGGTCTTTTCTATTTCGAGTCCGGGTTTTCAAAAGTCAAGTCCGGGTTTTCTTAAACACGAGTCCGGATTTTTTCGAGTCCGGGTCCGGGTTTTTCTCGAGTCCGGATTTTCTTAGAGTCCGAGTCCGGGTCCGAGTCCGAGTCCGGTCCGGGTTTCGAAGTATGCCACTTGCCCAAGTAGGAACGTAGATACGGACATCGTTTAAAACAGATTATTGATATCTGATCAAGTGGGCATGGTGAGCCAGACAGTTTCATTTTACGTATGACGTTTGTAATCTCTTGATAGGTCGGGGGGTCAAGCTTAAAAGGCGTTTGAGGAGAAGCAAATTTTGGGATCCACCTAGGAATATTGAATGTTTTATTTGGGCTAATCGTGGAGAATGTTTTGGTAAAATAGGATGTACATTGCGCTAAATTAAATGATGGAAGTGAACTGGTATTCTTTTTGAAAAATTTTTTAACGTAACCCCAGAAGTTTTTACCAATTAGATTATCGTTATCAATGTCTGCAGATGCATGACTATCAGAATTATGCAGTTCCGTATTATTTGACTTATTAAGCAGGATGCGCAATTTCTTCGCGACAAATTTGATCTCCAGAATACTACCGTTTTCCAGTTTTAGTTTCTTTAAAGCTTTTTTTAAATCCTTTGTTGAAAATGTTTGGTATTTTCTTTCGAATTCTACACTGTTATTGTTGTCAACATGTCCAAAATTCCCACTAAAGTAATTGTAGACGACGGTTACCATGGTATTGATGTTGTTATTTAGATCATCCGGTGTGATTGGGTGATTCAAAAAGGTTAACTTGAAAAAGTCGTTGGCAGTTGACCATTGTAATGGCGATTTGGGTAGTTTTATCCCCATTTTTAAGTCGGGGAAGTTTTCTTGGGTGTTCAAAGGTGATATTTCAGGGTTAACTGGGTCAGTGTTATCCTCATGATTGTCGTCGTTCAATGCTTCAGTCATTTGTTGTTGCAGTTCGTCTTCAAGGTCGTCAATAACTCTACAGCTTCGTTGGTGCATTTTAAGTCCACGAGCTCCTTTGCAGACTTTACCACAGCAACATTTGACTGCTTTGCAAGACTTTACAGGTAGACACATTTGTGTAGGCATTTCCATAGCAGGATTAACATTCAAAGTGGATTCTCGTTCGTTTCCAACTTTACTTTTACACCGCCACGAGTAACGGCTTAACGATTCAAATTCCTTGCCACAAAATCCACATATTATTAGCGTTGAAAATAACGCAAGCAAGCTTGCACGAATCATACTTGATTAATTTTAGGTATAAAATTCAAAATGTAACGTAACTATATCAATTCAAGTAAAATTTTTCGATGAAACCAAGGACATGTACAGAGAGCGTATATACGCGACTGCTCGATGTCAATAATAATAATAATAATAATAATAATAATAATCTTTAATATTCATCTTAGGTCATAAAAATACAATGGATTTACAATAGTATTGGTTAAAAATTTACATCTATGTAGATATAAAATATTCCCGATAATAATTTAGTATAACACGTGGTATAAATGGCTGTTTATGCCTGTCCGTGAACGAGCGAATAAGGGGGCGGTCCCTGGTGGTTTGATTTCTTAGATGGTATGAATGGCGAACAGGAGACAGTATGAAATTATTACAAGGACTTAAGATATCATTAATAATACGTTCATATTCTTTGATTGTTTGTTTATCTCTCCTCTCATGTAATGATGGTAGTGAATCTTTAGGAATGCCTAATATTCGCAGGCTCCTAGCTTGTATGCTCTATAATTCCTCCACAAGATATTGTGGAATCCCGCCCCAAACAGGTGAACATTATTCCAGTAGGGGTCTGATTTTTGTCATATAACAAGTCATTCCTACTTCTGTTGGAAGATTGGCTCGGCGACACTCTCTAAGACAGAACATCCTTCCGTGGGCCTTTTTGGTAATTTCTTTAACGTGGTCGTTCCACTTCAGAGTATTCTGATGCCAGACACCCAAAAGTTTAAACGAGCTTGTTCAATCTATCGTCTCTCCATCAATTGTAAGGGGAGGTGGTTCAGGGATACAGGTACGGAAGCAAATCCACATGTCCTTGGACTTTTTCGAGTTCAGAGCCATTTTATTAAAATCGACCTATGTCTGCATGGAGTTGAGAACCTCCTGCATTTGACTCACGTCACCTTCTTTAACAGATTGATCTAGGGTACAGGCATCTCCATATTTGTGCGTATCCACTGCTATTGAATTTGGGACAGAATCTTCAATATCATTAATATGTACATTGTCATTGACGAGCGCCGGTAATATTACAGACCCTTGTGGAACGCCAGCAGGGCATGATGATACAGACGACAGAAAATAATTCAGTTTAACCTGCTGACTCCTGCCGTCTAAGAAACTTTGAATCCATAGCCCGAGACTTTTGTTAATATTTAGTTCGGCAAGCTTTCTCAGGAGTATTCCGTGGTCTACCATGTCGAAGGCTTTCCGGTCTAGAAAGAGGGCGTGAACCACCATGCGACTATCGGGCGAGTTATCGGTTGCATTAAACCATTTCTGTGAAATGCAAGTGAGCGCAGACACAGTTGAGCGATTTTGTGTAAAGGCGTACTGGTTATTTCTGATTGTTAAATCTTGCCTGTGTAGGGATAATTGAAGTTTTTCTAACGCTTTGGCTAACTGTGGAAGGACCGATATTTGTCGGAAATCATTGTCTATATCATTCGGAGGGTTTACTTTGAGAACTGGACAAATTAAAGCATGTTTATATGGTTTTGGATACTTACATTGAACAATACTTGCACATATGACGTTAATTGTGCACAACTAAAGGCTGATTTCCACTGTTGCGTTTTTCATACGTACGTATACTCACGTAAAACTTTAAATCCGTTTAAATGTTACTTATGAAATAACTAAATAAATAAAGCAACAGAATTTAGTGTTCCGCAAGTTTTAGCATGCATTTGTTAACTTGTTTGTAAAATATTTAAAAAATAGAAGGATTCAAAGTTTTACGTGCGTGTACGTGCGTACGAAAAACGCAACAGTGGAAATCAGCCTTAAGGCCAGTTCTTCATATAAACGCTTTTGCAGCCATGCTGGTAATCCGTCTGCATCAGTTGCATTCTTAGGATTAAGGTGTCGAAGTGTGGACTTTACTTGTCCAACATATGGCGTGGGGGAAGGAACATCTTTCAGAAGATGTGAAATAGTCTGAAAATCTGGAACATTAGTTGGACAGACCTCTTGCCATGGCTTGATAAATGCCTGTTGTAGTTGCTCTACTAGATATTCAGTAACCTCCGCAGGTGGAATACAGTTCGGGGAGTCATTGATAGTTGCTAGTCCGTATATTGTCTTATACCATTTCCCCGGCTGCGAGACACGTACGCCTTTGCCATTAGATAGGTAATAACTTTCTTTCGCATTTGATATTAGTCCTGACACTTTATCACAGAGTACCTTATATTGGCAGATATAACCTAAACCACGAGAGATTTGTACGAAATGTTTTGAAGGACTCGTAAGCAACATTTTACAGGGTGATAAAATGCTGCATTTCGCATATTTCATTTGTATTTTTTATTTTAATACCCTTAACAAAGGATTAAATTTGTTATTATTTGATGGAAATGGCTTGGATGGAAGAACAACGAGGCTGGATTGTTTACAATCGACACGGGATGACAAAATGGCGGCCGAATTTGGGCAAAGTTGAGGTTTTACCTTGTCGATGGTTAAACGGCTAGGATCTACTTGAAACCCAGTTGAAACTTGTTTAAAATGTGCTTGATACCGTTATGTTTGAGCTGAGTTGCATATTTGGAAGGATTTCAACGATATTGGCGATTTCAACGATATTGGCGGAGTAAAGTGGAGAATTTGGCCAAATACGTCCATTTGCAGGAGGTATGTACATTTCAAATTATTATTTCGGTCACAAAGTATTAACTATTTTACAGCAAAGCAGTGATAATATACTTAAATAAGTACCAATTATGTTTCTATAAAAAAGATTTAGGAAAAAAGGTAATGTAGGTCCACTGCTGTTTATCTGAATTTGTAAGTCACAAATTGACGTTTGACTATGAGTATTGCATGGTCATTTTCTTGTGAAATATCGGTGCTAGGCATTTCACACTTACCAAGGACCACCCCTAAAACCACCATCTCTGAACCATATAAGCACCTCAGAATAGCCAAAGTTTTTATGGTTTGGAAGATAGCACTATGGCGAAAGCGTTGTTTTTGGGTGTGGTCAGTTTCGGACGTTTCGTCCCGGATTGGGGTTCGGGCAGCGGTACCATGTTGACCATCATGGCCAACTTGCCCTAAAACAGTTGAGATTATCTGTCCTAAATGAAATGCATACAAACTCATATACAGGTCCCATCCTAGACTACAATCCTGCAGATGTAATTTGACTTTTAGAATCGATTTCCGACGTTTTCCGAGCGCTAGGATGTAAACACGCGATGTATTGGCGAATCTAATTCGTATTTCCGGTCAAAAATATCCCGCTGACTTCACTAATATCGCAACAGATTGAAATATCGAAATAAAAGACGAAAAACTAAGACTACAAGCTTCAAAATAATACTGTAAATAGCGTTTTTGATTGTGAATCGAACAAGACTACAACAAAAAAGATATGTTCGAAGGGGCCGAAGTTGTGAATGGCGAAAGGTATGGCTTTAGTGATACATTGTTTACATTTTTCGAACAAATATGTAATTTGTTGAAATATGATGCCTCTTGATCCTTCAAAGGTCATAAATCGCTATAATGTTTGTCTTTGACTAAAACTATCATCAGGAATTGGGAGATATTTTCTCGCTGAATAGAATGGTGGTATTTTCATCTACATAACATGTACTGAACTGAAGATATGAATATGCAAAATAGTATTCCAATATCTACCTACTTTTCACAGGGCCTGTCGCCCAGGAGTTAAACTTAACTCTTTTAATATCTCCATGTAACATTTTCTATTTTTGCACACGCCCACTCACCACGTGGAAATCAACTTCGGTTTACGGGGTCAGCGTGTATAAATAAAGTTTCTATCTATCTTTCTTTCTATCTAATAATTGCGTAACTTGAGCCTACCTTATATCGATGAATGATTTATAGTCTAGTAAATATATTAATAAGACTGCTCATGTCTTATACTGTATGTCCTGATTTCATGTGAAAATCAACACTGTGTATTAACTTTTGAAGAAATAAATCACAAAATTAACGAAAATTGCATAAATTATTATAGGTATTGTTGATTCTCATGCTGTGGTACATTCTACCACGAGCGAGCTGCGGCTGAACAGACAGCGGCGAGAAGTCGTTGCAACAGAAAATGATGATTGCTACAAGGCATTTTTTGTTAACGGTCGTCCGCCAACTGGAATTTCTCTTGGTTATGGTGCACCTAAGTATATTTGTCAGCAGCTTCATGGTGCTCAACAAAAACTACCTACTTCGCATCCATGTTTGATGAGCTTGCTGGTATTGCTGTCTACTCGGCTTATGTTGTCAGAAGCGCGGATGCGGCAACAATAGACCCTGAAATCAGGAAGAGCTTAAAGGAAGATTGGCGCAGTGAATCAGGTAAATATTAAAATTATAATATTTATTATTATATAAGTATAGAGATTTCAGTGCAGTAGATGAGTGAAATAAAAATCGTATCCTTATGGCGGACGATATTTTTCACATGTGAAATTTATCGTCTCAGCATTTTGATTGGTCGGACAAATTTTCTCACATGTGGTGAATTATCGTCTCAGCGTTTGACTGGCTGGTGTTTTCCCGCTCATAATTGTAAACATAACGCCCGGTTTTAGCGAAATAGCAGAAGTGAGTTTTTATTGAATTTTTCGCTAAAAAAGCGACTATATTATCATCTCAAATCATTAACAATTCATGAGTAAATTAGCAAACCATGCATATCTTACTTTATTTCGCTCAAATGATAATACTCGATACCTGGTGAATTATATAGGTCCAGCACTAGGACTGGATCAAAATTAATTCAGCCATTGGACTGGCTCAAAATTAATTCACCTCACTTTATGTAGTGGTTTCACTCGTTTGAAATGTTATTCCAAATCCTCCAATTCGGACTGGACTATATTTCAAGACCTTGCAATTTGACCCAGTTGCGCGGAATGGAAATATAGTCCAGTCCTCATAGTTAATTTGAAATATTACTTCAAAAAAACAATCACAAATGCAAGTATTTCAGATAAATATTTTCAATTCGAATTCCAGCAAAAAATGAAGAAATATATAAGCGGTACGAAATCTATTTTTGGATATACTTCGGATGTGGACCTTGCGCGTTGTTGTGAGTTTGTCAGTGTCAAATATTTATTCTACAAATTTCTTTTTGTGATTACACGTCGAAACTATTTCCGAGTTATTGTTAAGTAAAAATTGTTTATTTTTATCCTTCAAAATACAGAGTTTTTCTTCTAAACACATGCAAGTTACATCTTTTTTATCCTCCCGGGTATATACGAAATTGCATGTTTTATTGTACCAAGTTATGTCGAAATTTTGTTTATTTTCCTTTAATTTCCAAATGTGCTTCGAAAGTTCTGTATCATTGATTGTTATATGGCTGAGATAAATGCTACACGCTGACTGGTTGATTACCGGTCTGGAAAAATCATCTTACCGGCTCAGAAATTCATCTTGCCCGCTCAAGAAATTCATCTTGCCCGCTCGTGAAATTGTAAAAACACTGCAGTCCAAAAATTTTCTAAAAGAAGCTAGTAAACTTTATTTAATGCCGTATAGTAACGACGGGGAACACTCACCGAGTGAATTTTATTATCCTGATGAAATCTCGGATGAAACAAATGACCCAAATGGTAGGCTTAAAGGCGAAAACGCCGAACAAAACAACAACAAAACAGCCAAGAAAAAATTGAAGAATTTATACACAACCAGAAAGCGAAAACCACAATAACGAAAACGAAAAGCGACATGAAGGTTTTCCAACAAATTGAGTACTTATCGGAGCAGAACTTGACCACTTACTCTGCAAATTTTTTATCAATGTCCGTAAAACAAATGGCGACGAATACGAACCGTCTTCACTGTCAAGTTTCCAGAGAAGTTTACAACGATACTCAACAGAAAATAACATTCAAACAAACATTTTAAAGGCACAGTTCAGCCTGTTGAGCGATGGTTTTTAAGGCACATTTCAGCTCTGTTAATTGAAAAAACTAACTAGGAAAATCAATTAAGCATAATTCAAAATCAGTAAACTCGATGTTTTTAACAATATGAATGTTTTAAAATGTTAAAAACATTAAGATTGGTGATTTTGAATTATGCTTAATTGATTTTCCTAGTTAGTTTTTTCAATTAACAGGGCTGAAATGCGCCTTAAAACCATCGTTCAACAGGCTGAACTGTGCCTTTAAAAGACATTGAATTCGAGAAGTCTCGACAAGACTTAGCTGCCAAAAGAAAATATCTTGTAAAACAAGGAAAAGGATGCAAACCACAAGAGCCACAAGCAACGAGAGCACTTACGGACGACAAAGAGAACACTCTATTTGTCACTGGCCAGTTTGGCGATAGCTCTCCAAGTGCGTTGCAAAGAACTATGTGATGGTTTCTATCTATGCACTTTGGTTTTCGTGCCAGAGACGAAAGTCGAAAGTTACGCTGGGGCGACGTTGATTTACAAAACGACCCAAAAGGCAATCGTGAAATGTTGGTTTGGCTT